CCATCTTCTCCCCCACAAATTCATCAAAAGATCATTTGAACGCTGAGCAACTTCCACAAAACAACTTCTGAACACTGGCATAGGATACCAGGCACCCAGAAAGGCAGCCCACTCTCTTTGAAAGGAGGAAGGAGAAAATATAAAAGACAAAAAGAGAAACAAAAGAGTTAGGGACGGAGACCTGTCCTGGGGAGGGAGTCGTGAAGGAGGAGAAGTTTCCACACAGTAGGAAACCCTCTCACAGACAGGTCTGTCGGGAGACCTGGAATCCCAGAAGACAACATAACTGGGAGAAAAAAAAAAAAACCCCACAGAATATACACCTAACCACAACTGCGGAAAAGAGAGATGCCCAGGAAAGGCTCTAACCTAACAACCTATCATGCAGCCTGGCCCTCGCACAGAACAAAGGACTGAGCAGTACCAAAGATTACCACACATAGCTAGCCAGCCCCTCCCCGCCCAGAGGCAGAGAGGCAGGCTTGACAGCTGGAAGGCAAGGGGCTGCTACAGTCTCAGCCCCAGAGCATCTTCCACCAAACTGTGAGCAGGCTCCCAGCTGCTAACCACGTCCTCCTGAGATCCTGGATGGCTGACATCCGCAGGAGGGTCACAGCCTGCCATCAGCTCTCCAGAGGAGACACGCGGCACACCTGAGTCGGTGCTCTCGCGGCGTACCCAGGAAGCTGTGTGGCCGGGACCGGGGAGGTGACTGAGACACGCGGCCCACCTGGGACAGTACGCTTGCCAAGCACCTGCTTGCCCGAACTGCCCAGACCTGGGAAGGGCACAAAACGCAGCCCGACCCACAGAGGCCGAGCCAGAACTGTGTCTGAGTGTCTCCTGTGGAGGTCCGGGTCAGCAGTGGCCTGCCCCAGGGGCTCTGGGTGCAGCAGACCTGGGTATGGCTTAAGCCCTGTTGGAGGATGTCGCCATTAACCCCACCACAGAGCCACCAGAACTTACACAGGACTGGAAACAGACCTTTGGAGGGCACAAACAAAACCTTGTGCACCAAGACCCAGGAGAAAGGAGCAGTGACCCCACAAGAGACTGACCCAGACAGGCCTGTGAGTGTCCAGGAGTCTCCAGCGGAGGTGTGGGTCATAGCAAACACCCTTTTCCAACAACACAAGAGAAGACTGTACACATGGACATCAACACTGAAATCAGATTGATCATATTCTTTGCAGCCAAAGATGGAGAAGCTCTATACAGTCAGCAAAAACAAGACTGGGAGCTGACTGCGGCTCAGATCGTGAACTCCTTATTGCCAAATTCACACTGAAATTGAGGAAAGCAGGGAAAACCACTAGGCCATTCAGCAATGACCTACATCAAATCCCTTACGATTATACAGTGGAAGTGAGAAATAGATTCAAGGGATTAGATCTGATAGACACAGTGCCTGAAGAACTGTGGATGGAGGTTTGATATACTGTACAGGCGGCAGGGACCAAGACCTTCCCCAAAAAAAAAGAAATGCAAAAAGACAAAATGGTTGTCTAAGGTGGCCTTACAAATAGCTGAGAAAAGAAGAGAAGCTAAAGGCAAAGGAGAAGAGGAAAGATATAACCATCTGAATGCAGAGTCCCAAAGAATAGCAAGGAGAGATAAGAAAGCCTTCCTCAGTGATCAATGCAAAGAAACAGAGGAAAACAATAGAAAGGAAGACTAGAGATCTCTTCAAGAAAATCAGAGATACCAAGGGAACATTTCATGCAAAGATGGGCACAATAAAGGACAGAAATGGTATGGACCTAACAGAAGCAGAAGATATTACGAAGAGGTGGCAAGAATACACAGAAAGTGAAAGTGAAGTCTCTCAGTCATGTCCGACTCTTTGCGACCCCATGGACTGTAGCCTACCAGGCTCCTCGGACTATGGGATTTTCCAGCAAGACTACTGGAGTGGGTTGCCATTTCCTTCTCCAGGGGATCTTCCTGAACCAGGGATTGAATCCAGGTCCCCCACACTGCAGGCAGATGCTTTACTGTCTGAGCTACCAGGGAAGCCCTAAAGAATACTGGAGTGGGCTACCATGCCCTCCGCCAGGGGATCTTCCTAACCCAGGGATCGAACCTAGGTCTCCTGCATTATAGGCAGATGCTTTACTATCTGAGCCACCAGGGAAGTCAGAATACACAGAAGAACTGTACAAAAAAGATCTTCATGACCCAGATAACCAGGATGGTGTGATCACTCACCTAGAGCCAGACATCCTGGAATGTGAAGTCAAGTGGGCCTTAGGAAGGATCGCTATGAACAAAGCTAGTGGAAGTAATGGAATTCCAGTTGAGCTATTTCAAATCCTAAAAGATGATGCTGTGAAAATGCTGCACTCAACATGCCAGCATATCTAGAAAACTCAACAATGGCCACAGGATTGGAAAAGGTCAGTCTTCATTCCAATACCAAAGAAAGGCAATGCCAAAGAATGTTCAAACTACCGCACAACTGCACTCATCTCACACGCTAGTAAAGTAATGCTCAAAATTCTCCAAGCTAGGTTTCAGTACATGAACTGTGAACTTCCAGATGTTCAAGCTGGATTTAGAAAAGGCAGAGGAACCAGAGATCAAACTGCCAACATCCACTGGATCATCAAAAAAGCAAGAGAGTTCCAGAAAAACATCTACTTCTGTTTTATTGACTATGCCAAAGCCTTTGACTGTGTGGATCACAACAAAGTGTGGAAAATTCTTAAAGAGATAGGAATACCTGACCACCTGACCTGCCTCCTGAGAAATCTGTATGCAGGTCAAGAAGCAACAGTTAGAACCAGACATGGAACAACAGACTGGTTCCAAATCAGGAAAGGAGTACGTCAAGGCTGTATACTGTCACCCTGCTTATATAACTTATATGCAGAGTACATCATACAAAATGCTGGGCTGGATGAAGCACAAGCTGGAATCAAGATTGCCAGGAGAAATATCAGTAACCTCAGATAAGCCGATGACACCACCCTTATGGCAGAAAGCAAAGAAATAAAGAGCCTCTTGATGAAAGTGAAAGAGGAGAGTGAAAAATCTGCCTTAAAACTCAACATGCAGAAAACTAAGATCATGGCATCCTGCCCCATCACTTCATGGCAAATATATGGGGAAACAATGGAAACAGTGACAGACTATTTTATTGGGCTCCAAAATCATTGCAGATGGTAACTGTACCCATGAAATTAAAGACACTTACTCCTTGGAAGGAAAGTTACGACCAACCTAGGCAACATATTAAAAAACAGAGACATTACTTACCAACAAAGGTCCGTCTAGTCAAAGCTACAGTTTTTCCAGTAGTCATGTACGTATGTGAGAGTTGGACTATAAAGAAAGCTGAGTGCCAAAGAATTGATGCTTTTGAACTGTGGTGTTGGAGAAGACTCAAGAGTCCCTTGGACAGTAAGGAGATCCAAGCAGTCCATCCTAAAGGAAATCAGTCCTGAATATTCACTGGAAGGACTGATGCTGAAGCTGAAATTCCAATACTTTGGCCACCTGATGCAAAAAACCAACTCACTGGAAAAGACCCTGATGCTGGAAAAGACTGAAGGTGGGAGGAGGAAATGGTTGGATGGCATCACCGATGTGATGGACATGAGTTTAAGTAGGCTCCTGGAGTTGGTGATGGACAGGGAAGCCCGGCATGCTGCAGTCCATGGGGTCACAAAGAGTCGGACATGACTGAACTGATATGTACCTCAGGTTCTTTATCCATTCAGCTGTTGATTGACATCTAGGTTGCTTCCATGTCCTAGCTACTGTAAATAGTGCTACAGGTAATGCTAGGGTACATGTGTCTTATTGAGCAATGTGGTGCATATTTTCACGTATCTATTGCTCATCTGGATGTCTTCTTCACAGAAATGTCTGTTTAGGTCTTCTATCCATTTTCTGATGGGGTTGTCTGTTTTTCCCATATTGAGATGCATGAGCTGCTTATATATTTTAGAGATTAATTCTTTGTCAGTTGTTTGTTTGCAATTATTTTCTCCCATTCTGAGGGCTGCCTTTCCATCTTATTTGTATTGTCTTTTTTGTGCAAAAGCTTTTAAGCTTAATTAGGTCCCATCTGCTTTTTATTTCCATTACTTTAGGAGATGGGTCAAAGAGGATCTTATGGTATTTTTACATTAAGGTATGAACACTGGTTTTCTAGATACAGTGTTACTGCACATTTAATAGACTACAGTATAGTATAAATGTAATTTCTATATGCACTGGGAAACAAGGTTTGCTGATTGCTTTACTGTGATACGTGCTCTCCTTCGGTATCTGGAACCAAACCCGCAGTCTCTGAGGTTATCAGTAGGTCAGTTACTGCAGGCAATGATGTCATGGAATGTACAAAGGACATCACCAAAGCAGCCTTGCTGGATTGCCTCCTCTGATTCGTGTTGTTATGAAAAGCACATCATACGACAGTGCTCTTCAGATATTTTAAGTATAAAGATGTGTTACTTCTTTAATCTAGATGCAGGGACTATATTAGGTAATGGATGCATTGTTTGAAAAGCTCTGCTTTGATAAACTGACAATGTCTAAATTAGCAAACACTGTATCCCAGTGAGCAGCAAATTGATAACACATCCCCAAAGAGGACAAAGACAATTAAAATGCAAACAGTTCTGCAAAAGGACACAACTTCGGCCCACTCAACTGCAGTATATACGTCACCAACACGCCTCACCCCACTTACTTGACATTCGTACATTCAGTTCTTGAGAGTTCCAAGTTATACCTGACTTTTAAATGGGGAGCTTCTCTTGTGTCCAGCACGGATGCAGCGTGCCTGGCATGAGTCTCAGCCCCCAGCCCCATCAGTCAAACCCCACCACCACCCTGCTCCATGTCCCCTGTGGGTTCCCTGCTCCTGTCCCCAGACCTCTGAGAGTGCTTGGTGACAATGGTGTACTTACCGACACAAGACCGGCCTTTGATATTATTTTATAAAACCGCAGATTCACATAAATTAAAAGAAAAAAGAAGTTTCCACTGACCTGGAGCAACTACATTCACTCTAATTTTCTTTTTTGCTACTTCTTTGGCAAGAGCACGTGAAAATCCGACTAATCCTCCTTTACTGGCACTGTATACAGACTGGCCAGAATTGCCTTTTAGACCAATAACACTTCCTAGAAAAAGAAATGAGAGCAAATTCAAACCACATTCATAGTGTTATTATTCTGCACATTCAGAGAGTCTATAGTAAACAGACAAGGTACAGACCCTTACCTCGTTCTTTGCTAAAATGAGGAATTCTAAGCACTGTCGTTGGAATAGCAAGACTCCGAGTCTGAGTCTGCTCAGAAAGAGGAGCCGCAAGAAGCTCCTGCAGAACCCAGAGAACCAGGTGGTGGCTGAGAACGGGTCCACTAAGTCACGGGGACCCACACTCATCTCTGAGGAGGGGGAGCATGATAAAAAGTCTACAGAGTTTACAGAGGCTTCCAGGAGGAAGAGCTTAAAGCCAGAACCGACAAGCCAGGTAAAGACTGATTTTATGACCTATAACACAGGCATAAAGTTTTTATTTCCAGCTAAAAAACAGTTCATTCCAAGAAAAATTTTACTAAATTTCAACTACTGCTGATTAAATTAGCAAAGCTTCTATTGTAAACTTCTTGTAAAATTGCAATTTAGTTACCTTCAGATATGTATCAACTTGTACTGCCTAATATAAAGATTCTTGGGTGGCTCAATTATATGAATGTGAAAGAATAATTTATAACCCAAGTATCAACTGTATGCAAATAAATTCTTGCAGAACAGAAATTGGGAGTCATTTTCTGCATCAATGACCTGTATATGTAATGTAGGGTAAGGGAGTTAGAGAAGGCGAGGTTTGGAAAAAGAATGAGACCGGCACTGTACAGGAACAGATCACCTTTAATGAGGCAGAAGGGGCAGCAGTGAGATTAGCGAGCGGCTGCACTAACCCAAGAAAAGAGTAAGCATATAGAGGCATGTATGTGGAAAGATACTGTCTTAAGGGGGCCTGTTCTTCTCCAAGGTTGTTCAGAGGAGTTATCTCTTAAACGGCTGGGGCAAGGAATTCTGGAGATCGGCCAGAGGCTGGACCAGGTGGGAGCTGGGCGTAATCAGCCTTAATGTCCAATTTTTACTTTGGGTGAGAGAGATCTTTGTTTTGCACAGAATGATGGGGAGGACCTGGAGGGGAGTTTTAACTCCAGGCTATTTTGAGCCGTTTAACTTTCCTTCATGTAATATAAAAAGTAATCAAGAACTTCATAAAATTTTTGAGAAAGTAATTTAATTTTAGAAAATAAAAACACTCCACATACTTCTTATGATCAGCAAGTCCAAGAATAAAATATTTATCCACATTAGGTATTACATGTCAGTTAATGACAAAGGAAGAGAAAGGAGGAGTACAGAAAGAGTGAGGAAAGACACTGATCAGACAGAGGAAATGCAGCTGGAGAAAGGGGTTTGGGGGAGGAAGAGCAACAAAGAGAAACACAAGAGGAAAAATACAGACTCGGAGGCAAGGCTGAGCAGGAGGCTTGAGCAGCCGAGGTTCCACCACACAGCTGTTGCTCTGCGAAGCAGTAACTTCTGAAATATCAATGTCCTTTCCAGAAATTTACAGTAACCTCTTTGGTCATAAGAGTCTCCTAACTTATTTTCAATAGTCTATTTTATTGACTTACAGCACAAGTCTAAAAGTCTGCATGTAAGCAAAAGACTGATATGGGATTTTGTTTTATTTATGTCTAAAAAGGGCATGTTTTAGACTTGAACAAATACACCCTCCTTTACCAGGAGAAATGTAGGTGGTAGTATATCAGCTTACAAGAAGCCAAATCATTATCTGGCTGTCAGAAGGCAAAAGTCAACTTAATTACGCATCTTTTAGAAGAAAATCGACCTCTCACATTTTTAAGGGTACATGTTCAAAATGTTCTAATTGTTACTAGCACAATATTCTTTCCTTTGGTCAATATCAAAAAGGAAGCTCTCTGTACTCTGGCTTGGAAAGACAGTTCCTGTATTAGAGTAGGGTCACTTACTCTAAGAGCAGAATCCCTTTTTTATGGCCTATAAGGTATTACAGATTAAATGGGAGATGGCAGGCATGCATTTCAAGTCACTCTGCATTTTAAAGTCTACAGGCAATACTCTACTCTGCCCTGTAGGGCAGGTGAACTGAAGCCCAGGAATTACTTAACATCCATTCTAAACACTGAAAAGGTTATTCTCTTATAAGAATAAAGGTTATTCTCTTAAAGGTTATTCTCTTAAGAAAACCTCCTAGACCTCTGTGCTGGATTTACTAGTGACACACGCAGTCATTGCAGAAGTCATTTTTTAGCCCTCACCAACGACAAGTTTTTCATTCCGTGATCACATTTTGAAAATTTGGTTTCATATAAGAATCAGGATGTCCAATTTCTCTTAAATATGCAAAATAGCGGGTCACACTGCACCACATTTGTGCACAGCAACAACCTGCTGGATCGGGGCTATTCCACACAGCCTCTGGACACCAAAGCTGGGTGCCTGAGGTCATGTATCTCCCGACGTGAGCTGTCACTGTCCCAGTACCCGGTGGTGTCACTCCGTAACACCTGCTTGACCACTAGAAGGATGTGAATTGGTGATTCCTATTTCACCTATTATTCAGTTAATAAAATCCTTTTTCCATGGATAATAAAGACACATTCTGTCCAAGTTTCACAGGTAAATAAACTGCAAATCAGCTGATTAAATCTCTGTGGTGCCATAGGCAACACTATACACGCAGAGGCGAAGACTCACCCACATTCACAATGGACCCTCTCTGCTGTTTAATCATTGTCTTCACGGCAGCTCTACAGGTCAGCATGGAGCCCAGGAGGTTAGTGTGGAGCTGAGACAGCATCTCTTCAGTATTTGTCCTCACTAACAGATTATCCCTACCAAAAAAGCAAAATCAAACCAACACAATCCCATGTGATTTAAAAATGGGACAAGACAAAGTCAACAAATAGATAACATTTTTTTTCTAAAAGCAGAATATAAGAAGAGCTTTGCCTCTGAGTTAGAACACCTGGACAGCCCATTTTAAACTTGATCTGTGAGGAAACATAAATAGTCACGACAGTGGTCACCTAAAAGGAAGTACTAACTGGGAAGAAAACAAGAGTCTTCTGGATTTCTGGTAAAGTTCTTCAGCTCAATATGAGTGTTGATTACAATGTTAAAACTAAACTGTACCCTCAATATGTACACTTCCCAGGCATCATATTATACCTGTACTACACACACATACAACTATTCCAATAGCACACATTTAGTTTAAAAGGGTTTTTTCCCTCTATAATAAAATAACACTTTGACACACAAAAAAACTAAATGAAACCCTTATTATAATCTCAATATAAAACAATGAAAAGAGTGTGCAACTTGCAGACCAAATTTTAAAATACATACCTTTTCTTCCAATTAGAAGTAAAACAATTTAATATACTAACTCATATTAATCAAAAGAAAATTGGGAGAAAAAAAATTAGAAATGTACTTAAATTTGTGACCAACCTGTTAATTCCAGCTGCATTTACCAAGAAATTAACGCGACCTAAATTTTTCTCTATCTCTTCAAATGTATTTTGAACATCATGTTCTTTGGCAACATCACAGCTCAATGCCAAATGATCTCCTACACAACAAAATTAGAGTTACAAATAAAGTATACCTTGGTTGTAAACATGATTCAGTACACACTCATCAAACACCTATGATGAGCTTGTGTAGTAGTGTCAATCATTCAGTCGTGTTCCACTCAGTAGGGTCTGACTCTTTGCAATCTTTCGGGCTGTAGCCCACCAGGTTCCTCTGTCCATGGAATTCGCCCGGCAAAAATACTGGCATGAGTAGCCATTCCCTTCTCCAGGTGATCTTCCCAACCCAAGGATCCAACCCGGGTCTTCCTGCATTGCAGATGGATTCTTCACCATCTGAGCCACCATGGAAGCCTTACATCTGTTCTATCCAGAGCTTGAGATAAAGGACGATTAAGTCCCAGATTCCTGATCTCATGGAGTTCAGGAAACTGGATGGAGGAAGGTGGGGAACAAGTAGGAGCAAAGTTATGCAACCTTAAAACTTTTTTAATCAACAAAAGTGCGGGAGCACCTTTCTCATGTCCATAACACTTTGTATGAGTCACCTACCAATATTTACAGTTTTGACACTGACCCTATGCCACTTAATTCAGCAGTTTTCTCAGTTTTATATTCCTTTTTTGGAAACTTGATACATTCCCAGTGGCTTAGTGGTAAAGAATCTGCCTGCAATACAGGAGTCACAAGAGACAAGAGTTCAATCCCGGGGCTGGGAAGATCCCCTGGAGAAGGAAATGGCATCCCACTCCAGTATTCTTGCCTGGAAAATTCCATGGACAGAGGAGCCTGGCGGGGCGACTGTCGGTGGGGTTGCAAAAGTGGGACACGACTGAACACGCTTGCATATATAAGCTTAATGTCTAATTCAATTACATTCTTGTCGAACTGGTTTCCTGGCTTTGAAATAAACACTACCGTTTTTCTGTTTAACTATAGCACAATCTTATATGGCTAGTATTATAGCGTGACAATTAGAAGGGATGAAACAAAGCAAGAAGCCGTTTTTTAAAATGTTGAAAGCACAAAATCATGAAAAAATTTTTTTTACTAAAAACTGTTACCTGTTTTTTAAAGTCCACTTTCTGCGAATGTTTAATTTAAAAAAAATTCAACTTCAAAGAAAGCAATCTTTATCAACATTATACCACTTAACACTGCCATTTTTTTAAAAAAAAGAAAAGGTAAACAATTCTTTGTCTTCTGGCTAACCTTGCGTGGTACATTAACACTGAAACTACCTTCCTAAAGCTCTGGAGGCCTATGTGAAGTTGGGGTGACGTTGCGTAAAGGTGCCCTGACAGTGAACGAGGTGCCTCTGAGCCCAGCCCTCCTAACTCTAGCTGCGAGCTCGAACCTTCACAGCACCCCGTCTCACTACCAGCCAGAGACTGAAATTCGCAAACCAACTGCGAATCCATTTCTAATAGACAGGAGAAAATGGGATTTAAGCGGAATCTGGCGGAACAATCTCACTGTCCCTTGGTGAAGGTCATCAAGGCATAACAGTGCTTCAACGCTGCGGACGCCGGGAAAAGAGCCCACCCACAACCCGGCTGCCCAAAGAGGCTCTGCCTGCTCATGCGCACACGCCCGAGGCGCAGGCATGCGCACACGCGCGGGCCTCCTCGCGAGACCCAAGCACGCCTGCGCCGCCCCTCGCCCAGCACGGCGGGTCTGCCGCCTGCGGGAGGAGGGCGCACAAGACGGCTTCTCAGACCCACACCGGCCGCGCGAAGAGGGGGTGCGACCCCGGTCGGTACCCACCGCCCAGGTCCCCGGCCGCGGCTCTGGCCCCCTCCAGATTCCGGGCGACGATGGCCAGTCGATAGCCTCTCGGGGCCATCAAGCGGGCCACCGCCCGGCCGATGCCTCGGGAGCCTCCGAACACGGCGCACACCTTGTCCATCTGGGACGCGGAGCCTCAGGCCTGGGGAAAGAGGCTACAAGAGACGGCCCTTCCCAACGGCCGCGCAAATTCACACAGCGCGGCACGCTCAAAGTGAATCGCGGGGCCACGGCTCCCGCCGCCGGACTGGAAGGGGTGCGGGCCCAGAAACTCAGAGCGCCACAGCCGCCAGTCACGTTGGCACGTCGACGTCAGCGCGCATGTGCTCCGGGCGGCGCGCCCCCGGCGGATGCCAACGTGGGCCGGCGGGACAGTACAAGGGCCGCGCTGCACGCTGGGACTTGTAGTCTTGGTGCAGGCGGAAGGGCGTGGGCCGGTGCTGGGAGAGAAGGGCTCCAGGCTGGGGGTCTGCCCTGTAGCAAGTGGACCTTGGGCATCGGCGTTGCTAACACACTGGATTCTGGATGTTGTGGGTTAAATCAAGGCCGTGAAAGGCAGGGACTCGGGCATGAGGACCTCGGATATGTGCTCCAGGTTGTGTTTGGCTGAGACCCAAAGGAGTGGCACGTGGGTCAGACTCCCATGGGACCCCAGTCCTCCTGTTGTGGAATTTGATTCCTGTGCCTGCCTGCATACCCTGCATTGCATGCAGATTCTTTACCATCTGAGCCATCAGGGAAGCCCATCAAACCAAAATTTTGGAGTTTGGAGCAGAATACGTTCTATTGCAAGACTGTAACAGGGAAGAACAAATCTGACCCCATATTGGGTCAGTTGTTTTACTATAACCTTTGTAGTCTATGGTTTTTGCTTTGGGTTAGGAATGTTACCTGTAGCCTAAAATATACAGGCGAGCCCATAATCAAGTCTCTGCCCTTTAAAAGTTAACACTTTTCCAACCAAATAGCGATTAAAAAAAAATAGTTGTAAAACAGAATAACATTTGTCTTGTGGGTTTATAGGATCTTTGTGACCTGACCTACTTGGACACCTGTGAGAACATGGAATTCTTGTGCGAGGTCTGTAAAACCAGCCATACCTTTAAAAATGGCCTTTAAAAATGCTTTGCTGAAACGCTTCGGTGAGTTTGGGGGTTCCTTGGATACAAGGCACCAGTCTCCTTACATAGCCCTTCAGTAGAACTTTCTCTGCTCCAGACTGTCTGCTGTTGATATCATTGGCCCCACTGTGCATTTAGCACAGGAACATGCATTTGGTAACAGTTTTGGCGAAGGTGTTTTTATGGGCAAAATTTCCTAGGAGGTTTGCATAGTGTATGGAGCTTCCAAGCGGCTCAGTAAAGAGTCCACCTGCCAGTGCAGGAGCCAAAGGATACACAGGTTCTCCCTGGGTCGGGAAGATCCCCTGGAGGAGGAAATGGCTACCCATTCCAGTATCCATGCCTGGAGAATCCCATGGACAGAGGACTCTGGCAGGCTACAGTCCATGAGGTCACAAAGAGTCAGACACAATTGAATGACAAATAACACAGGCTGCAGAGTGCCTAACTCTCCTCTGACTGGTTGGTGGTGAGGTGACAGAGTGGTGCTCTGGTATCTCCAACATCAGCCTCTGGTTCCAAACACTCGGGTCCTCCTGTTTGCACTCAGCCGGAAGTCACCATCTCTAACTGGGTGGGGCCTTAGTTCCTGCAGAACAACTCAGAGACATGTATCGTATTGTTATGCATGTCCTCTGAGCAGGAACTAGGACCCGGCCCCATCTCATGCTATTGTTTCTTTCTGCTTCCCCACCCCCTAATGAGTAACTGTTTGAATCTGCCCTTTGGAACTCAGGAAAGGTCTAGGATGCTGAAAGCCTCCTTCCTACCAGCAAGAAATTGGTGACACAGAAGCTTTTATACCTGGAGGGCCCGCAGGGTCCTGCTCACTCTCATCTCCCGCCTGTCCCTTAATTCTTCATCTTGAGGAGAACAGGCATTGGACAAGAAAAGGACTCATTTTGGAGAGAGAGGTCCATCAAAAACTGGGCAGATGAACTCAGATTTGGGTGAACTTGGTTTCACTCCCCAGAAGGAGTGACCACTGTGGGGGGCACACCCCAGACCCCAATGCCCTCCCTGCAGAAGGAGTGGGACACAAGGGTCAGAGCCCATCCTGCCTGCCCCTCCCCAACCCAGGCCCCCGTTCTCCTTAGAGGGTGTTGTTGCAGAGCCAAGGGTTTCCAGTCAGGAACACACAGGAGGAGCTCAAGAAGTTACCCAAGTGAATGGTCTCCCAGATCCAAAACATGAGCCTCAAGCATCCTCATAGTTTTCTGCAATTCTGAAGAGGATATGCTCAGTGTTCCCCAGGTTAATAAGGTGAAAGCTGAGTTTCATTACCATTATGCTTGCTACAGTATCATTATATGAAATGTTTCAGAAAAGTAAGCCATGGTCCCCACTGGTAAAATGTAGATCAGGTGGGGCAACAGGACAATTCCACATGAAACACTAGTGAGCAACCACAATCATGACCTGCAGAAGTATCTTAACAGGAGAACTCGGAGGAAAGGGAGGTCAATGAAGGAGGAAGAAATGCACGGAGAAGCTAGGTTACAGGACTGGATGCAGATGAAAGAAGGAAGGGGAAGAGTCAAACAAAACAAAGCTAAGCAAACAGCATCATTTTGTCCCACCTCGCCAACAAAGGTCCCTCTAGTCAAGGCTATGGTTTTTCCAGTGGTCATGTAAGGATGTGAGAGTTGAACTGTGAAGAAAGCTGAGCACCAAAGAATTGATGCTTTTGAACTGTGGTGTTGGAGAAGACTCTTGAGAGTCCCTTGAACTGCAAGGAGATCCAACCAGTCCATCCTAAAGGAGATCAGTCCTGGGTGTTCACTGGAAGAACTGATGCTAAAGCTGAAACTCCAATACCTTGGCCATCTCATGTGAAGAGTTGACTCATTGGAAAAGACTCTGATGCTGGGAGGGGTTGGGGGCAGGAGGAGAAGGGGCCGACAGAGGATGAGATGGCTGGATGGCATCACTGACTCGATGGACATGAGTTTGGGTAAACTCTGGGAGTTGGGGATGGACAGGGAGGCCTGGCGTACTGAGATTTATGGGGTCACAAAGAGTCAGACACAACTGAGCGACTGAACTGATCTGAACTGAGCCCCAAGAGGGATGTGAAGTGGCCTCAAAAATACACAGTAAAACTTCACACCCTTTAGGATAGCTACTATAAAAACAACAAGCATTGGAGAGGATGTAGGGAAACTGAAACGCTTGTGCTCTGCTGATGGGAAGGTAAACTGGTACAGTTGCTCTGGAAAATGGAATGGTAGTTCCTCAAAAAAAAAAAAAAAAGATAGTCTTACTACATAATTCAGCAACTCCACCTCTGAGTAGATGCTGAAAAGAATTGAAAGCAAGGTCTCGAAGCAACATTTGTAACCCCATGTTCATAACAGCATTGCTAAAATGTAGAAGCAACCCCCAAGTGACCAATGATAGATGATGGATAAGCATATGTAGCACGCGTGCGCGCGCGCACACACACACACACACACTCACTGTAGTATATTACGCAGTCTGAAAAAGGAATTCGGCAATATGCTACAGCCTGGTTAAACCTTAAGGGCTTCCCTGATAGCTCAGTTGGTAAAGAATCTGCCCACAATGCAAGAAACCCCAGTTTGATTCCTGGGTCAGTAAGATCCACTGGAGAAACGACAGGCTACCCACTCCCGTATTCTGGCCTGGAGAATTCCATGTATTAGTCTGTGGGGTCTGAAAGAGTCAGACACCACTGAGCGACTTTCACTTTCGCTTTCGGTTGAACCTAAACGACATAAGCCAGTCACAAAACAACAAATACTGTATGATTCTACCTATATAGGAGGTGCTGAGAGAAGTCAGTACGGTGTAGACGGGAAGTAGGACGGCAATCGTCAGAGGCTGGGGAGGAGGACGAGAGAAGAGTTGTTTAGTGGGTGTGATGCTTCAGTTCTGCAGCAGGAAGAGTTCAGGAGAGCTGTGATGGTAATGTCTGTGATCATAACACCACTAATCTGTACACTTACAAATGGCTAAGAAAGTAAATTAAATTCTATGTGTATTTTACCACAATTTTTAAAATCGGGGAAGAAAACAACTCCAGCAATACCAACATTAACATTGACAAGAACACTGGATGCAGGTTAAAGTTTCTTAATAGGGTTATCTTTTGTCCCTAAAGTACAGAGTGGTAGTGTCAAAATACTGTGATTTAAAAGCACTTTGAATATTTCTCCTCTGAGGAGTTACAACACAAACTTGATACTGGGTTGTTTGCAGTTTTTAGAAATTGCTTTATGATATTGTACTTAATTTTGTCTGAAGTGTAAACAACAAAGCAGGCACATTCAGAGAACACACTTTCATCATTGCCTCTGTCTCCTGTTCTCTTCCTACCCGTATAAAACATTGTTTCCATTGATTTTTATTTATCCTTCCATTCTTTCTTTTTGAAAATATTAGAAAATGCTGGCCTCTTTCCTGTTTTACTCTCTTTCTTACACAAAGGTGGGACACTGCAACTATTGCTCTTTTCAAAATAAAAATATATTCTGGAAATCATGGCATGTTTTTGTTCACACTTGAATAGTCCTCCATATCAGGATTGTAATCGGCAGAATCCTAAAGATGACCCTCCCTCTTCTACCCCATTCAACCCAATACTCACCTAGGAACCACGGGGAAGGGGATTTGAAGGTGTAATTAAATCACAATTCAATTAACCTTAAAATATGTGGATGATCTGGGTGAGCTTAGTCTAATCAGGTGATGCTCTTAAAACAGAGCATTTTCTCTGGCTGGTTGCTGAAGGGGAAGTCAAAGACACTAAAAGCCTGCTCAACAGCTAAATAACCAAACAACTGGAAAATGGGCAGAAGACCTTAATAGACATTTTTTCAAGGAAGACATATAGACGTCCAGTAGGCACATAAAACGATGCTCAGCATCACTAATTCCTAGAGAAATGCAAATCAAAACTACAATGAGGTATCACCTCACATCTGTCAGATTTATGGCCATCATTTAAAAAATCTAAAATAACAAATGCTGGAGCGGG